ACAGAGTTAAGACCGTGTGCCATGCCAACAGTGGTAGAAACTTTAGATCGCCTACAAGGTGCGAATGTGTTTTCGGTTCTCGATCTTCGCTCAGGATACTGGCAGATACCGATAAAACAAGGTGATAGAGATAAGACGGCTTTCATCGTGGGTCAGACACAATATCGATTTAAACGCATGCCGTTTGGACTAGCAGGTGCACCGTTTACGTTCAGACGACTGATGAAGCTATTACTTAGGAACTTGAAAAACGTGGAGGTTTATGGTGATGATCTCGTCATATACAGTCAAAACGAAAACGATCACGTCAACCATGTAGAAGCCGTGCTGCGACGCATCGAAGAGTTTGGACTACGCGTCAACAAAACCAAGTCCCAGATAGCCAAAAAGAATGTTACTCTGTTGGGACATAAAGTGGGAAATGGTGAGATTAAACCACTGCCGGAGAAAATTTTGACGATTAAAACGATTCCAGCCCCGAATTCAAAGAGAAAACTGAGACAATTCTTGGGTAGAGCAGCGTTTTATAGCCGCTTCGTGAAGAACTTCAATGAGATAGCAGCCCCTCTATACAGGCTACTAGGTGAGCCAAAGTTTGTTTGGTCGGAAGAATCGCAGAGGACATTCGACAGAATTAAACAGCTGCTCGACCACCAACAAATGACGCTAAAACTACCTGTGCCAGGAAGACAGTTCACAGTGTGCACAGATGCCAGTGACTACGCTATAGGTGCGGTCCTAAGACAGGACGAGGGAATCGTTGAGTATGCCAGTAGGGTTTTGACACTCGCAGAGAGAAAGTATTCAACGATAGAGAAAGAATGTTTAGCAATGGTATGGGCAGTCGACAAATGGAGACCTTATTTACTCGGCCGGCGGTTCCACATCGAAACTGATCATAAGCCGCTACAATTTTTGAAGACAGCGAGAGACCCACGGGGGAAGTTGTCACGGTGGATGTTGCGTCTTCAGGAGTACGATTTTACGATCTCACACGTTCCTGGAAGTGAAAATGTCTTGGCAGATTTGTTATCGAGACCAGAAGATGAGTCTGAGTTGCCCGAGGTCGCTTACGGAGTGCATGCAGTAGAACAAGACCCACTAAGACTTGCACGTAGGCAGAGGTTGGACGATACGCTGAATACAGTAATACAGGTGATCACCAACGGAATAGAAGTGGATCAAACTACGGCGAGTAAGGAGCTAACCACACTACTCAGACAGAGGGATCGACTCAGAGTGAATGCCTACGGGACTCTGACCTGGCGAGAGAACGACGGAAGCTGGCTGGCTGTCATACCTCAATCGTCGCGCCACGACATGATAGAAGAATGTCACCAGCTAGCGCATACAGGCGTGGCCAGAACGACCGATCTCCTAAGACAAAGTATGTACTGGCCAGGTATGAGAGAAGACGTAGCAAGATACGTACTTGGATGTCCACGGTGCCAGCTGATGAAAGGTGACCGGTGTATACGACCACCACTTCAGTCGATTCCAGTTACCGCGATAGGTGACTTGTGGTCCGTAGATGTCATGGGTCCATTTCCTCAGACATCCAATGGTAATCAGTACCTCTTGGTAATGACGGAACACGCGACACGATGGGTAGACGCCGTAGCAATCCCAGACCAACGTGCAAGAACCGTGACAGATGCAGTAGTTAGACACATTGTTGCAGACCACGGCGTACCGAAGACAATACTGACAGACCAAGGTCCCTGTTTCGAGAGTGAAGAGTTTACTTCCCGTTTGCAACAGCTGGGCATCAAGAGGATCAGAACGACCCCATACCATCCACAAACGAATGGCCTAACGGAGAGAAACAACCGTACACTGAAGGAGTGGCTGGCCTCGAAGGGCGGGAACTGGGAAACGGAGCTTCCACTGATTTTACTAACACATCGCGCTACCACTCAGGAAACAACGAAGAAGTCACCCTTCCAACTGATGTATGGTAGAAAACCACGATTACCGGTACACAATGAGACCTGGCCCATGCACCAAAAGTGGAGTACGACGAAATTAAAAGCAGAGAGGAAAGAGGCAGTCAAGAATGTAATACGGAAGCAGCGCAGTGATGTCATGAAGTCTCAGATGAAAGAAAGGACGCAGTGCATTACCTTTGCAGTCGGGGACCAAGTGAAGTGTAGAGACAGGAGATATACAGTTGGAGGCGGGCTAGGTTCACGGAAACTCCTTCCAAAGTGGGAAGGACCATACACAATCACAAAAAGACGGGGTCAAGTATATACCATCCGAAGAGGTGATAAACAGAAACGAGTTAACGCCAGTCAGCTCCAAAGATGGGTACAGTGGGACAAGCCGGTCAGTAACAATCCTCAACTAGAGGATGTAGCACCCAGAAGGTCGGAACGTCTGCGCACGAAGCTATTTGACGGGGGGACGAGTGTGGTGAGAGCAGGCTGCTAGCCGATTGGTTGGCACTAATCTACGTTAAGGTCTAGGTCACTAATATGGGCCGTGAGAAAATATGAACAAGCCTGAGTCAACAACCAATCACAGCAAAGTTAACGTGGCAAAATATGATTCGCAGAGAGAACTCTATTTGTCAAGGAATCCCGAAACAACCAATCAGAAGCCTGCGTTTGTCTACCTAAACAACCAATCAGATGACTGCGCTTGTCTATAATAATGTAGTTGAAAGATGTATAAATACGTGTTGATTTTCATAATAAAACGATCTGTTGCTTCGCCCTTGTCTTCTGTTGTTACAATGAGACGATGACTGTCGTATTGATGCCTCCGTGAAAGTTGGGGAAGTTGGTTTTGAGCAAACAACCAAGAATTGATCGTTCAATCTTCAACTACATTGACAGCTTTAAATAATGCTTATCTATTCCTGTACATTTGGTGTGTCCTACACAGGTGGGAAAAATTGTGTATTTTATTAAAACATTATTATTAAGTATGATTGCTAATCGTATATGTAATTTATCATATTGATGATGCCTGTAAACTGGCGTCCCGTATGTACAAAATGAGAATGTACTACTATTATTATTATTAGAAGGACTGAAAGGAGCTCTGAATGCCAAACTCTGCATGGAACAAGCTAGTTTCAGAAAAGGTGGATCATGTGAGGATCACGTCGCAATGCTACGCGTCATCTGCATACAAAGTGTGAAACGTGTCAAAACTGTTCTAGGCCCCGACTGAGTTTAAGGGATCTGTCAATGTACTTGAAGATTGAAAGATCAATTCACGGTTGTTTGCTCAAACCCAACTCCTCCATATTTTTCGCGGGTCATCAATCCGGCAGTCATCGTCTCATCGTTCGCTGTTCATTAGAAGAGAGAAAACTGTTGGAAGTGTCATTGTGATTCATTTTTATGACATTTATTCTTCGACTTTGTGTACAATTACCTAATGTTTGGCTCTCTATTGATGCAAGAATAAAGGGTCCTTGAGTCAACAGTCTGTTTTCTGCCTTTTCCTGGAATCTATTGTACGTAGTTTCTGAAAGTCTTTCAAGGACAGCGTGAGGTCCGGCGCAGTAAGACCTGGACATTAACAACAGCCTTTGAGAACTTTTATGGTGAGGTGATTTGGAAACTGATGAAAAACCGTGGAGTACAATGTCACTAACTCCTGTCAGCTTGTGTACTCCGCAGAGGATTTGTGTCTAATGACGCCCAGACTCAAAGATTTACGAGTGAAAACCAACAAGTTGGTGGAAGTCAATAGTAGCAAAGACAAAACTTCAACTAAACATAGAGAATACAGAAGATACCTAAATAACGAAAACGGGAATCAGCCACCATCATCAGGATAAATCTGAAAGATGTCATTAACTTAACTAGACTGGTAAACATAGGATGAGGATATTAAAGCCAGCCAAGTTTGGAAAATATGACTGACTTTCATAACTCTGAAATCAGCGTCAAAATCCATTGTACTCAGCATAAGGAATAGGACTCGTATTTTCAAAATTCATGTTAGATCACTGCCTCTGAATGGCTCAGAGACCCTGGGCCTCATGAGAAGAAATTCCAGCAGGTGGTAAACCTGTACCAAGAGCTTTCCAAATCCGATAGTGAGGCGTTGATGGGCGACCAGAATGGATAAGCAGCAAACAAATCGCAACAAACCACTCCGCCTAACGAATATGATAGAGGAAGTGGAGGTGGGCTGGACACATGCTAAGGAAACGATCAAGTATCATCACGAGTCAATCGCTCAGGTGGAACTCGAACAGTATTTGAAGGGTAGGTTGTCTGAGGGTGATATGGGAGAGATTGTATGAGGTGAAAATTAGAGTTTAGGGTTAATCTTGGCACGAGCTAAGAACTGCTGAATAGAACGAGGTGAAGTGATGTACTAGTGAAGCCCTACGTTTCGCTATGAAGGCAAGGGAAATGATAACATGTAGTTCCACGGTATAGAAGAAATCGCCTGTCGAACAAGGAGATCACTGGCCACTGTGGTGGTTAAGGGACTTTGCACCAGCGTTTCGGGGCTCTTATCGTTTCAATTGTTTAAAAGAGCTGGTATGTACAGTGGAATACTCACTTACATGCTATCAGCGTCGTCAAAGGACTAATTAATAATAAAGTATATTTTCATATAAACATATAAATTTACATGAAAATGCATGCCATTTCTACAGGCACGATCAAGTATGATATAATCTCAAATCGTAGATTGTCTACAAGTGAATAATGTTACAACAACTAAATATTTGATATATATATATATATATATATATATATATATATATATATATAAATACACTCATTATCCGAAGGCTGGACTTATTTATCACGTACTGTTGAAGTTCCACTTGGAAATTTTTTTGACAATAATTTTTAATAAAATTGTGTTATATGTTATCTAGATTGATGGAAATTCCCATTTTTTGGCTGGTTATGTTGGTGTCCGCCTCATGTGATCTGACTGCGACACACTTAGCATAGTGGTTGTGTAATGCAATGGAAACCGATACAATGCCACTAAACAAGTTTCTTTTTTCTCTTTTTCAGAAAGAAACGGTGATGTGGCATCATTGGAGCAAGAGGAGGACCAGTTATCAAAGCTTGTTATAAATGACGATAACTAACTTGTACCCGGGTAATTTGAGTCCGGCTTCCTTTAAAATAAACGCTTCCTCCGTACCGTCTTTGCCTTCTTCTCCACCCGTCGTGTCTGTGGTCTGTGTGTCTTACAATTGGTGTCGGAGGTGCCTTATTTACGCCGAGAGATGCTGGCTCTTGTTCACTTTCTCAAATACTTTCGTCATTATCTGCTTGGGCGCCCATTTCGAGCACGCACCGACCATCGTGCTCTGCAGTGGCTGCAAACCTTTCGCGAACCTGAAGGCCAGGTTGCTCGCTGGCAGGAGCGGTTGCAAGAGTTTGATTTTACCTGTGAATACCGCCCTGGAACCCGCCACGCTAACGCTGACGCCCTTTCCCGACTGCCGCCTGATGTTTCCCCGGTGAATGCTATATTGAATACAGGTCTAGATGTGGATTGGGCAGCACTGCAGGCGTCTGACGCCGATATTCAACCTGTCTACTCCCGACAGCTTCACGGGAACGATAAACCGTCGAGTAAAGAACTACAAAGTCTGTCTGACGCAACCAAATGCATCTGCGGTAAGTGGGGGATACTACGCCTGATTGATAACGTTTTGTACATAGTCGAACCGCCATCATCGCCTCGCCTTCTCGTGCCACGTTTGAAAGTCCCGGAGGTAATACGTCTTGTACACCAGCAGCTGGGTCACGCTGGCCAACGAAAAACCGAGCACGCCGTCCGTCAACGCTTTTGGTGGCCACTTCTTCACCACGACGTCACTGAGTTTTGCCGCAACTGTGCTACGTGTGCGCAGATTAAACAGCCCAAAGCATCCCCCCGAGCACCGTTAGTCCCGATGCTTACCGAGGCGCCTAATCATCGCGTTGGGGTAGACGTAATGGGGCCAATAACAACGTCAAGACGCGGCAATCGATATATACTTGTCATGGTTGATTACTTCACCAAGTGGTGCGAAGCCGTCCCCTTGCGACAACAAGATGCCTTAACGATTGGCCGCGCGTTCATAGACAATTGGGTGTCCCGTTTTGGTGCCCCTCTTTATCTACACTCTGACCAGGGCGCTGCATTCGAGAGTTATCTTCTTGCTCACATCTGCAATACCTTTGGCATCCGGAAGACCCATACTACGCCATACCACCCACAGGGTAATGGACTCGTTGAACGTACTAACAGAACTATTAAGAACCTCATCAGTGCCTTCTTATGCAACGCACCGGAGAATACCTGGGATGAGGTCCTACCCCAGTGTTTGCTGGCATACCGATCTTCCATGCATTCATCGACGGGTTTTTCCCCAGCCATGCTATTGTTCGGACAGGAACTCCGTCTTCCGGTCGAGATTCAAACTCCGCTGTTACCATACGAGAAAATCGACTGCATTCCCTATGTCCGACATCTTCGCCACCACCTAGAGGTCGCCTACAACCTGGCGCGTCGTCATCTACAGTCCTCGTCCGACCAACAGAAGACTAATTACGACCGATTTGCCCGTGGCCCCACTTACTCGCTTGGCGATTACGTCTGGCTTCATCGACCATCTGTTCCGGCCGGTTCCTGCCCCAAATTCTACGCTCCCTGGCAAGGACCCTATGAGATCGTCCGGCATCGACCCCCGACTACATATGTCCTGCGGCATCTGCAACGGCCTCAAGCGAAGCTAGTCACAGCACATTATAATCAACTGAAACCACATCATCCAGCAGCCGTCACGGAACCGTCTCCACCCGCGCAACCGCCGCCCGCAACCAGCTACGTCGAGGTGCCGCCCGATGGAGGTGTTGCATACCCTACACCACCACCGGGCACTGAGGACAGTGCCTCCAGAGGGGAGGAGGCGATGTAATGCAATGGAAACCGATACAATGCCACTAAACAAGTTTCTTTTTTCTCTTTTTCAGAAAGAAACGGTGATGTGGCATCATTGGAGCAAGAGGAGGACCAGTTATCAAAGCTTGTTATAAATGACGATAACTAACTTGTACCCGGGTAATTTGAGTCCGGCTTCCTTTAAAATAAACGCTTCCTCCGTACCGTCTTTGCCTTCTTCTCCACCCGTCGTGTCTGTGGTCTGTGTGTCTTACAGTTGCAATGATTAGTGTTTCAGGTGGACTGTGTCAAAGTATCTCGATAATGAGGAAGATAGGATAGTTAGTAATGCTATTTACGCAAATCATTTACTCCATATAGAAGCTGCTCCTTTCGGCATAGTATCATTCAATGAAGACTTCATGTCTCAGGATATTAATACAGCCTATTTTCGTGTGAAGAACAGTTTTTTTGACAAAATAATTCTCTCAATGCTTGGAAATCAACTGCAAATGTTATCAGAATCGTTTGTGGCTACCTAAGTTATCTTTTAGATGTGCTTTCCACCCTATCTGTGGTTGGACAGGAATTATGGTAAGCTGAAAGGTTATCTCTAAGTGGATTTCATATATATTGGCACTGATTGGTGCAGTGTACTATGGGTTATTTGAATTAAATGTAGAAAAATATCTCAACTTTAATAATATTTTGCCACTGTCTGTTTAGCGAACCAGGCCGTAAAATTACTGAATTGTACAGTTATCCTCAAGGTTGCGCGGGAAACTTGACTTCGTGTCGTGTAAGGCATGGTGAGTTCGGCGGCTTTCTTGACAATGCATCTGCATTTCCATGATTCTTACCCGGTCTATGCATGCATTCGAAGTCATACTCTTGTAGGTGTTCTTGCCATCTAGCAATCTGACCCTCAGCATCTTTGAAGTTATGTAGCCAGCTAAGGGCTTTGTGATCAGTGCGTACAATGAAATGTCTACCGAGGAGATATGCCCTAAAGTGTTTAACAAAATTGACCAGTGCCAGCATTTCTTTCCGCGTGGTGCAGTAATTCTTCTCACTCTTGTTGAGTGCTCGACTTGCATAGGATATCACCTTTTCTACGTCTTTTTGAGACAAAACTGCCCCGATACCGGAGTCGCTAGCATCTGTATCTAGGATGAATGGACCTGCCTGGTCAGAAACATTGGGATACGCTAGGATAGGGGGGCTACATAAACAGTTTTTAAGTCTTTCGAAGGCTTCCGTAGCTGATGCTGTCCAATTGTAGTCTTTCTTCTTAAGAATGTCGAATAGAGGAGCTGCAAGGAAAGAGAAGTTAAGTACAAAACGTCGATAATACGAGGCTAGCCCTAAAAAACTATGTAACTCTGGGGCTGAGTTTGGGAGCGGCCAGTCTTTAACTTCCTGAACTTTTGCTGGATCACATTTAATGCCTTCGGCTGAAACAATGTGACCTAGGAAACACACTTCATTCCTGAAGAATTGACATTTCGATGGGTTCAGTTTTAACCCAACGGTCTGCATCCGTTCTAATACTTCGGAAATATCACTTAAATGTTCGGTCAACGTCTTACTATGTATGATAACATCATCTAGATATACCAAACACTTACCTGGTATACAATCACTCAAGACCGTTTGCATGAGGCGTTGGAATGTTGCTGGGGTATTGACTAACCCAAACGGCATTGTTTCAAACTCATACAGGCCTGCTTGTACAATGAATGCTGTCTTTTGCCTGTCATCTGGATGTACTTCAACCTGCCAATATCCCGATGACAAATCTAGAGTGGTAAACCAATTCGACCCCTCTAAGGCATCAAAAGTGTCGTCTATGCGTGGGAGGGGAAAGCAGTCTCGTCTAGTTAACAGGTTCAACTTACGATAATCTACACATAACCGGAGTGTCCCATTCGATTTCTTAACTAAAACTACCGGGGAAGCCCATGGAGATACGGATGGTTTGATGACATTTTTCTCTAACAGTTCATCAACTAACCTGTTAAGCTCTTTCTGGTAATGTGCAGGTACTCGCCGTGCAGGTTGTCTACAAGGTGGGGCGTTACCCGTTTCTATGTGATGTTGGACCAGTTTTCTTCTTCCTGGGCTTTTTCCATCCCAGTCAAAACAGTCCTCATATTTGTCTAGCATTTTATTAAAGTTGGCAGCCGTTTCCGATGGTAGGGGTTCTATAGTCGTCAGCATTCGCTGTTTCTCAGTCTTAGCATCTCCCTGCACGCCAATAGTGCCGTGGTCTTTGTTGTTCCCTATAATAAATGGGATGGAACAGTCCTTCAGTATAGGAGTCCTTTGACTACAATCTATTATTCCGGACAGCTTTTCCAAGAGGTCGACTCCCAAGATTACCTGCCATGGCACCCGGGTAGAGATGATGAAATTGTGTTGAAGTGACAATGTTCCCAATTTAAGTGGCAGCAGGACCACTCCCTGGGATCGCATGCAATCTCCATTGGCTGTCGTAAGCTGCAACTTGTGAGTCCCTATTGTTGGCCTAAACGTCTCTGGAACACATGAGGAATGTATGACAGAACAAGTTGCTCCTGAGTCAATTAACATAACACACTTTTTTCCACCTATATAACCTACAACTTTCGGGGAGGAGGTGACACCGATTAGGTTTACAGTAGGCACACAATTCATATCGACATGTGACTCACCTGCATTGTGACCACAACTCCTAGCAAGCTTACCAAACCGCTTGCAGTAGTAGCAATCGTTTCTTGAAGTGGATTGCGACTGTGGGCGTTTTTTCCACGGTGGTGTGGGATCCTGTCCACGCTTTGTTGTTGTGTGCTGATATCCCATTGCGTTTACTTGTGGGCATGTGGTTCCTGGCTCTTCCAGGCTTTCCACTAGGCGTGCCCTAGCTTCCGCTTCTGCCATGGATGCTGGAGTGTGCAAGTTGAAGTCCTTCTTGTAACGGACGTCGACACCCTGCAGGAACTTGGAACATATAGCGTCTTCAACCTCTGAATATGTCTTGTCCTGCATAGCTTGACGCGCAAGCTTGCGGAGACGTAAGGTGAATATGTTCACCTTACGTCTCCGCAAGCTTGCGCGTCAAGCTATGCAGGACAAGACATATTCAGAGGTTGAAGACGCTATATGTTCCAAGTTCCTGCAGGGTGTCGACGTCCGTTACAAGAAGGACTTCAACTTGCACACTCCAGCATCCATGGCAGAAGCGGAAGCTAGGGCACGCCTAGTGGAAAGCCTGGAAGAGCCAGGAACCACATGCCCACAAGTAAACGCAATGGGATATCAGCACACAACAACAAAGCGTGGACAGGATCCCACACCACCGTGGAAAAAACGCCCACAGTCGCAATCCACTTCAAGAAACGATTGCTACTACTGCAAGCGGTTTGGTAAGCTTGCTAGGAGTTGTGGTCACAATGCAGGTGAGTCACATGTCGATATGAATTGTGTGCCTACTGTAAACCTAATCGGTGTCACCTCCTCCCCGAAAGTTGTAGGTTATATAGGTGGAAAAAAGTGTGTTATGTTAATTGACTCAGGAGCAACTTGTTCTGTCATACATTCCTCATGTGTTCCAGAGACGTTTAGGCCAACAATAGGGACTCACAAGTTGCGGCTTACGACAGCCAATGGAGATTGCATGCAATCCCAGGGAGTGGTCCTGCTGCCACTTAAATTGGGAACATTGTCACTTCAACACAATTTCATCATCTCTACCCGGGTGCCATGGCAGGTAATCTTGGGAGTCGACCTCTTGGAAAAGCTGTCCGGAATAATAGATTGTAGTCAAAGGACTCCTATACTGAAGGACTGTTCCATCCCATTTATTATAGGGAACGACAAAGACCACGGCACTATTGGCGTGCAGGGAGATGCTAAGATGAGAAACAGCGAATGCTGACGACTATAGAACCCCTACCATCGGAAACGGCTGCCAACTTTAATAAAATGCTAGACAAATATGAGGACTGTTTTGACTGGGATGGAAAAAGCCCAGGAAGAAGAAAACTGGTCCAACATCACATAGAAACGGGTAACGCCCCACCTTGTAGACAACCTGCACGGCGAGTACCTGCACATTACCAGAAAGAGCTTAACAGGTTAGTTGATGAACTGTTAGAGAAAAATGTCATCAAACCATCCGTATCTCCATGGGCTTCCCCGGTAGTTTTAGTTAAGAAATCGAATGGGACACTCCGGTTATGTGTAGATTATCGTAAGTTGAACCTGTTAACTAGACGAGACTGCTTTCCCCTTCCACGCATAGACGACACTTTTGATGCCTTAGAGGGGTCGAATTGGTTTACCACTCTAGATCTGGCATCGGGATATTGGCAGGTTGAAGTACACCCAGATGACAGGCAAAAGACAGCATTCATTGTACAAGCAGGCCTGTATGAGTTTGAAACAATGCCGTTTGGGTTAGTCAATGCCCCAGCAACATTCCAACGCCTCATGCAAACGGTCTTGAGTGATTGCATACCAGGTAAGTGTTTGGTATATCTAGATGATGTTATCATACATAGTAAGACGTTGACCGAACATTTAAGTGATATTTCCGAAGTATTAGAACGGATGCAGACCGTTGGGTTAAAACTGAACCCATCGAAATGTCAATTCTTCAGGAAAGAAGTGTGTTTCTTAGGTCACATTGTTTCAGCCGAAGGCATTAAATGTGATCCAGCAAAAGTTCAGGAAGTTAAAGACTGGCCGCTCCCAAACTCAGCCCCAGAGTTACATAGTTTTTTAGGGTTAGCCTCGTATTATCGACGTTTTGTACTTAACTTCTCTTTCCTTGCAGCTCCTCTATTCGACATTCTTAAGAAGAAAGACTACAATTGGACAGCATCAGCTACGGAAGCCTTCGAAAGACTTAAAAACTGTTTATGTAGCCCCCCTATCCTAGCGTATCCCAATGTTTCTGACCAGGCAGGTCCATTCATCCTAGATACAGATGCTAGCGACTCTGGTATCGGGGCAGTTTTGTCTCAAAAAGACGAGTAGAAAAGGTGATAGCCTATGCAAGTCGAGCACTCAACAAGAGTGAGAAGAATTACTGCACCACGCGGAAAGAAATGCTGGCACTGGTCAATTTTGTTAAACACTTTAGGGCATATCTCCTCGGTAGACATTTCATTGTACGCACTGATCACAAAGCCCTTAGCTGGCTACATAACTTCAAAGAAGCTGAGGGTCAGATTGCCAGATGGCAAGAACACCTACAAGAGTATGACTTCGAATGCATGCATAGACCGGGTAAGAATCATGGAAATGCAGATGCATTGTCAAGAAAACCTCTTAGG